ACCGGCCAGGTAGCGGCACACTGCAAATCTTCCACGACGGCAAGTGGGGCGTAATGAACAGCACATACATGGACTGGCGCATCGCTACAGCCGCTTGCCGGCAGCTTGGCTGGACTTGGGGCGATCTAGTGTCTAATGCGGGGTCCATGTATGGCGGAACATCCAATATGGTGCTCTGGAATGTTCAGTTCGCTTGCCAATCGCTGAACAGCCGCTTGGTGGACTGCCCTCGAGACCAGGACTTCTACCTTTGGGTAGGGATAAACGGCGAATTTCCCGAAATTGTAAAGGGCTGAAGGGCGGGGTTATTCATGGCGCGTGTCGGCTGTCTGGGCTATGCGCCGGTGGTTGCCTTCAATGGGAAAAACGTGTTTCATAAACCCTACCTGACATGCGTGGCGTGCTCCGTTTCCCAGCGGACGGCTCCGGTCAACCTGGTAAAGTCAGAGGCGAATCTGCTAAGTGATCATGGTCCAGGCATTTCGTTTTCCCTCCATTCAGGAATATCGCTGCCCTGTCCGAGATTAATCTTCAGCAAGAGACTTTTAACCCAAATAAAATGCTCGTACAAAATCGATGGCTTGCCCACGCATACAACACTGTGCATGTAATGTTTTATTTCTGGGGGCCTCCCATAGTAGAGCTAATTGATAAGCGAGGAGAACGGCGGGGCTTTGGCATGCCTGAACACAGAACACCCCCTCTGCATGCACTGTGCATGATTACCTAAGTTGAAGTAAACTATGAACCTCGCTACACCATGTCGGTCTGTGTGTGTTGTTGTTGTAGGACTACAACAACGACGGTGGCGCTGTGCCGCGGGGCTATGACGCTTACATGGGTGTACAATGCCACAGTGGTAAGCTTCCTGCTGCGTTGTGCTGCTTTGCTATAGCATGTCCGACATAGCTATGTCCGAACGCCCCATTTACTATGGACGTTCTCATTTTTTACACATGCGTCTGGCACCCTTGTACGTACCTTTACTGGCTCCTGGTATCTGGACAAGCAAATTTGATTGCACATGCAGATTTGGACTCGGAAGCTCGCCTCGTCGGTGGCAGTGATGCCAATGAAGGAATCGTCCAGGTCCTTTACGGCGGACAATGGGTCAGCATCTATCCCGCTCATCTGAACTACTACCAGCAGCAGTACGGTTGGAGTTGGTACGAGGCGGGAGTGGTGTGTCGGATGCTGGGCTGGGACACTGGCGAGGAGCTTATGGACATCCCTGGTGGAATCTTCAATCGGACGGCAGCTGAAGGCCCCCTGTACACCACATTTTACAAATGTAATGGTTCTGAGAGCCAATTGATAGATTGTGATCGAGAGTTGCAGACGTATCAAATATTTTCGTGGGACATCTACTCTTACGGTGTAGCCGCTGTAAGGTGTTGGAATGGTAAGTACGGGTATTGTAGCTATGTGCTATCTTGCATAGATGTAGGTCAGTGTATGTTACACAGCCGCTTGCATGAATAAAGGACAATCTAACTATCTGCTAGCTTGAATGACGTAGATAATCACACACGAGATGAAGAAGATGAAGCTGAACCCTGATTTGCCCAAGTTATGGGGAAGTGCGGTCCCAATACATGAATTCAGCGTGCAAAGGGATGTGCGTGGCCCCGACAGATCTGCTAGGAGCACATCATGGTGCTGGGTGGATTCACCCCGTTTGAAGCGGGGGGAGCAGGCCATGTATGCCAGTTTTCAACCACTTAAACAAAAACGGCTTCTAACCTACCTAGTACATCTTCTCGTGCCGGTCTCACTTGTCCATGTTTATTCCCTACAGCCGCCTTGCGTGTTTAGTCCGGCTGCTCCATCCTCATCGCCTTACCGTACGTGCATTAATAGCGCTAGCCCTGCCTTGCATGCATCCCTTGCTGCTACCATCCCAACTCCACCAAGCGAGACTTCCGAGCAACCGACAGACATGGTGCTGCACATGCATGTTGTAAGGACGGTGTGCTTGCTGGCTTTGTGAATGTACTGCTGACCATGAGCTTTAGTCCCTGTCAAGTATGGAGCTCTGCGTCCAGTTGTGTTTAATAAGTATATTCCTTAAGAGAAATAAAACGGCACTTTCGGCCCTGGTAAAAAGGAATGGATTTACGTCCGGCCGCATACATTCATTTCTTGGGCCAGAAAGCAAGTCTCCGTCCTGCCAAAGGTCTGCTCAAACGTCGGGGGATGGACTAGAAGGGCCTTGAAGACCCCAACCGGTATTCAACGGAGCGTTACACGCATATCTGACTGGAGCGGACGTGGCTACTCCAAAGGTTTGTCATCTCAAGGAACCACCAAAGGTCCATGCATGGACCTTATGGCCTGGCTTTGCAAGTTACTTTGTAATTCATCCGGGGTTCTGGGGGACCGGATACCCCCAGCGCCTCATGCTTAAGGAATAGTTTATCAGCCTGACTTTGGATATCATGGGTTTGGAATAAAATGGGCCCCCTAAAACGAAAACAGAAACGCTATCTCCGTCCATCACCGCGACAGCAACTCATCCCCATCGCTCAGTGCTTTTTAATTGCTGACTGGCAGCTGTCGTTCTATGCTTGGCTTCCCCAAAGGTTTCCATCCTCGCCATCCATACGGCAGCACACACACGCCGGCGGCACTACTACTAAAGTACAGACTAAAGTCTGTAGCTTAGCCTGAGCACCGTCGCTTGCAAGCGGGCGAGGGGGGAAAGGCTATGGGTTTCCCCTGCCCTTTACAAATTCACCGTGAGAGGAAAACGTAATGGGATGATCACGGCGATGAATGAGGGAAACCCTGTGTATGTCTCGAGTTCTATCTTATTCTGTTTGTGGATCTGCCAAACTTATTTTATAACGATTATTTGAAGTAAGGCTTGCTCAGATGTAATCGTGATGCGAAGAGGTGATGCGCATATGTGACCTCCCTCATTATTTGGCAGTAACGATTATCCTCCCCTTACCATTACCTACATGCTGCCAGAGACGGATGATGCTTACGAGGGCGACCTGCGGCTGGTCGGCAGCAACCGGCCAGGTAGCGGCACACTGCAAATCTTCCACGACGGCAAGTGGGGCGTAATGAACAGCACATACATGGACTGGCGCATCGCTACAGCCGCTTGCCGGCAGCTTGGCTGGACTTGGGGCGATCTAGTGTCTAATGCGGGGTCCATGTATGGCGGAACATCCAATATGGTGCTCTGGAATGTTCAGTTCGCTTGCCAATCGCTGAACAGCCGCTTGGTGGACTGCCCTCGAGACCAGGACTTCTACCTTTGGGTAGGGATAAACGGCGAATTTCCCGAAATTGTAAAGGGCT